GCTTCTGACCTGGCTGCCTGGGAGCCAAACCCAACACACTTATGTGCCATTGGGATGTCTACCCGAAAGGGGGGGATAGGAACCACATGCAGGTAAATCTTCACAATCTCCACCTGATGTTTACACAGAAGCAACTTGCATCATCCCTCCATACCACTACCCTCATGGCACCTGTGCTCCATGCCGCCATAGTCTTCAATGTTGAGTGCTTGCACTCCAACATCATCTCTGCCCTACCATCCAACCCTGTATCTGCCAGCCATCTTCCAACTCCAACTAAGCCTCAGTGGTCCCTGGACTCCAATGGTCTACTCCACCTTGACAGTCACATCTTTGTCCCTGACATTGATGACCTCCACCTTCAAGTGCTTTGGTTCAAGCATGACCATCCTCTAGCAGGCCATTTTGGGCAAAACTGCACCCTAGAACTCATCTGCAGGGACTATGTGTGGCCTAACCTCCACTCTGATGTGAAAGAATATGTCAGGTCCTGCACTGCCTGTGGACAGAACAAAACTCCATGGCACTGCCCCTATGGTCTACTGAAGCAACTCCCCATCCCAGAGAGACCTTGGAACTCCATCTCCATGGACTTCATTGAACACCTCCCCAACTCTGATGGTTGCTCTGCCATCCTTGTGGTGGTGGACTGCCTCTCAAAACAAGCAGTGTTCATCCCCACCCATGACTCCATCACCTCCACTGAACTTGCTAAGCTCTTCCTTACCCATGTCTTCTCCAAGCACAGAGTACCAGCTAATGTCACCTCCAACAGAGGTCCTGAGTTTGTCTTGCACTTCTTCTGCTCTCTAGGAAAGGCCCTGGATATGCATCTTCACTTCACTTTGGGTTACCACCCAGAGGGCAATGGCCAGACTGAGCAAATGAACCAGACCCTTGAGCAGTATCTTCATGTCTACTGTAACTACCAACAAGACAATTGGGCTGAGCTGTTACCTCTAGCAGAGTTCACTTTCAACAATGCACCAAGTGTGACAACTGGAGTTTCTCCCTTCTTCACTAACAAGGGATATCATCCAAACCTGTCTGTGGTCCCTGACCAAGACTTCACCTCTCCAAGGGCTCATGACTATGTCATCAAGCTCTCTGCCCTTCATGACTTCCTCCACTCTGAAATGTCTGCCACTCAGCAGCACTACCAGGGTCCAGCAGATGCCAAACACATACCTCCACCTGAGTTCAAGGTTGGAGAACAGGCCTACCTCAAAGCCAAGTACTTCTGCTCCACTCATCCTTTGGAAAAACTCTCCAAAAAGTACTTAGGCCCATTCACCATCTTGGCCAGGCCAGGTATGCACTCCATCACCCTTAAGCTCCCTGACTCTATGTGCTCCATACATCTGGTCTTCCATGTCTCACAACTGGAAGCCACAGCAGCTAACCCTTTCCCAAATTGACAGCAACCTCTGCCTCCACCAGTAGATGTCAATGGTGACCTTGAGTACAAAGTGTTGGAGATACTTGACTCTAAGGTGGACCACCATTGCTGCCACTGTCAACTCTTGTATCTAGTCTGCTGGGCTGGTTACGAGAACACTGATGAAGAAACCTCTTGGTTGCTTGCAACTGAGCTGGACCATGCTTCCAACATAGTCTCTGCTTTCCACAAATGCTATCCACACAAACCTGGCCTGTATCAACCTCCACCATAGTACTCCTCCCACATAACCTTCCTCTGCAGGCCAACTCTGCCCCTTATTGAACTACCTTAAGTACTTTAGAATTTTCTCTGCTTATCCATTCCACTTCTCAGAATCACAAGCAATGTCACAAGTCTATTTCATAGTAGTACAAAATATACAAACAAAAAAACAAAAGACAAAAAAAAAAAAACTACTCTACTCTTCCATTGCTTGCTCTCCACCACACTCCTGTCCTCCTCCACCTTCCAGCTCTCCTCTGACTTCTTCCTCTTCCTCATTATCCCCCTCTGCACCTTCGTCCACTTCCTCATGCTGCTCCTCCACCACCTCTGACAGAGGCCTCTTCCAACCACTGCCTGTGTGCTCAAGCTCAGCCATCCTGGCCTCTCCTGCATCTTCCCTCCTCCTCATCTCTGCCCACTCTGCCCACTGCATGTGGACTCCCACACCTGAGGGACCCTCAAGTGGGGTCACTGGTTCATCTTCCTCTCCACCTGCCTCCCACTTGTTGTTCACCTCTTCCATCTCCATTGCTCTCTCCTTCCCCTTCCCTTGCAGTCTCTTCTTCTCCTCTCCTTGGGAACTCCCTGTCCCCACTCTCTTCCATGATGGTCCCACCACTGCATCCTCCCTCATCCAACTACACACCTTTTTTTTCTTGTGGCAGGGCACACAGGCCCTGGTATTGCCTCATCCTGGCTTGCACTGCCCTGCTGTCAGACTCACTACACAGCAAGTACAGGGGGGCTGCCTGGTTGCAGTGACCACCACAGAGGTCCCAGGGACCCTCTGGGTGGTGTTAACATCATACACCATGCTGCTTAACCTGAAACAAAATAAAATAAAATAAAGAGAAAATATAGGTCAGCTCTGCCTGAGTTGCAGTACTCTGCTACTCACCTCTGTGTGGCCTTGTCCTGCCTGGCCTGGGCCCTCTGCCTCTGTCTCTCTGCCTCTTCTCTTCCTCTGCTGCCTTTTTCTTCTGAGCTTCCTCCTCCATCACCCTCCTCCTCTGAGCCTCCTCTTCTGCTCTCTTCCTCTGCTCCACCTCCAGTTGCTCCTCTTCTGCCCTCTGCCTCTTGGCCTTGCACTCTTTCTCATGCTCTCTCTCTCTCTGCTCAGTCTCCTCTTGTTGGTGCACCTTCTCCACAGACTTCTCCTGCTCAGTGTCAGTGGAGTTGTCAGTAAGGATGACCAGTTCATCATCTGTGACTTGGGAGTAGTTGCAGACATGACTGGGGGTTGGCTGGGGGGTTTTGCTCTGGCACTAGGAGGACATGATGATGGGGAGAAAGGATGAAGGTTCAGTACCCTAACACATGTTTTTAAGCAGTTCTTCAGACTCCAACAGAGCTCCACTGTGGCTAAAGCCATTGTCCTCAAGGCATCAAAATGGTTTCAAATGATTGACTTGTGTTGATCTCATCTCATACATGTGGCCTTCAGGGGTTCAGGCCCTAAGGGGGGGCACTGTCATGACTGTTGTAGAAAAAGAGATTTAAGAGAGAGGTTGAGAGGATGACAAGATCTGAGGGGAGAGAGTAGGACAAAAGGGGCTTCTATAGCCTGGGACTGGATCCTGGTAGTCATCTGAAGGCTTCTATGGCTGTCTGGGTGCAGGGAAATGACCTGCTCAAGCTCATCTCTCATCTGTGGTAACTCATCTATTTTTTTCTAAAGGAAAAAAACCATACACAAGTAGCACTACTGCTGACTAAGCAACCAAAAATGCGAAATCTAAGTGCAACTCATAGAAAAAAGTATCTAGAATGAAAATGAAGTAACACAAGCAAAATAAGGCAATTCCCCTGGTAGGGAAATTACATTCCCTACACCATGTGTTCATCCTAGGTCCTCACTCACTCCACACCCCTTTTCCACCAGTCATTTGCCCACTCTGCACCAACTCCACCTGTCCCCTGATGTTTACAAGTCATCAAGTCATCTCCACTCTGACTGCTATCAGACTTGTACTGCTCTCCTGTTGGACCACATGGGCCATCTCCTGAGGAGTCATGTACTACCCTTTGGACTTCTCCCTGACAGCATGTGGTCAGGTGCTCTGCAGCACATGCACCACATGGTCCAACACCTGGACAGTTTCCTTCTTGGGATGTTCTGTGTTACCCATTCATATGTCCTCCATCTACCCTTCATTTGTCATTGAGGAAGTTTTACTTGAAATTTTATGAGTCTCCATATGTCAGTTCTGATTCCAATTACTGTACCTCTGTAGTAGTATAAAAGCATGTACTGTACTCTGCTGTTCTTCAGTACAAATATCAACTTAGTTCCTACTCCCTCTGTCTCTGTCTTCTGTCTGTTGGAGTTACCTCCATCTGTCCATCTGTACTCTCCCTCTTTTTGGAGGATGATGCTGTAGGAAAAGTCCAAGTAGCTGTATAATACAAGCTAGATGGCTTAGATAACAACAATAAAAAAATGAAGGGAACGAATTGCTTGTCCCAAGGGATTCTGGACTGTCGAGACTAGAAGGTGAGACCTGGTGCTTTGTAGCAGTAGTGGTTCGTGATGTGTGCAGTGTGGTCCACGAAATAGTACTGGCAATGCAAGCAGTATACATAGTTTGTGCATGGCAGAATGTGAGACATGCAGTATAGACAAAGTGTAAAGGAAACTTGTGGTGACCTTCTGAGTGCCAAAAGGTATCATTCTGTGCCTAAGTACAGGGCTTTATAGTCTGGACAAACCTGGAACCTAAGTAAGACAGGGTACAGTAAGGGAAAGCCACGCGACAGCACATACACAGAAGACAGGCCAAAACAGAGGCCGAGGGTATACTACAAGCACTAAAGGAATAGAGACCATGATAAGAGAAAGAGTCCGAGGAAAAACAACAACCAGAGCACAGTGGCTGTGGGTATAGCATCGTGCGAGAGGGAGCGAGGGCGTGGGAAGGTAGCGTGTGAACAACAGTGAATGCGAGAGGGGAGCGGATGTAACAGTAGTCATGGAATGGTTAATGATAGGGGCTTACACATCCAGGGAATGCAGATTCCTCACACCTGTGGGGGACTTAGATGCTGACCGTCCCCGGTCAGCCATGTGGCACAGAGGACATAAATAGCTTGCTGTGTGGTGATGGCAACAGTGTGGTACCGAGGGTTCAAGAACACTGGTGAGTTCTGCATAGAAGTGAAGGAAGCATAGAGCCAAGGGACACGAGAACACCGTTGAATGCTGCATATAGGCATCTGGACCGATGACATAAGCACCTCATGGCCACTAAGTATATAATTGTTAGTGCGCAGCTCAAACCTTCACATCGATTTGATTCTTTCCCCCTTTATCATCAATCCCCCCATCGCTCTAACCATGTCAGCTAACTGTGCCCCTCGTCTCTCCCAACTCGTATGCACAGCCACCCCTGACCTGGTCGAAGCGGAGAAGGCCAACCTGCAACAGCAAATCACAGCTGCATTGGCTATCCTCGTGGCTGAAGCAAGGTGTTTCCCTGAGGATGACAAAGGAATGCAAGAGGAGAAGACAATGTGGCTGCAACGCTGGGAGGAGAAGATGGTGAGATGAATGTGCATCAGCAGTACAGTAGCACAGAGGCTGATCACATTCATTTCTAGGCTATGCTTATGCCGTTGGTTGAGCATGGGAAGGAGCTTGGCATCACGGTAAGGGTGGACGCAGCAGAAGTGCCTATACTGGCCGAAGTGGACAATGTCTACAAGCGGTGGACGGTGGAGGAGGCCGAAGTGCATGCAAGGGCCGAGCAGGATGTCCAGATGGGGGATGAGAACGCGCAGGAGACTGGAGGGCCAGGTGCAAGCGTCGCAGTGCCTGCAGCAACAGAGAAGATGTTGCACATAGAGGTGGTGTCCTGTCTGGTGCAGAAGGCAAGTGCATGGATGGAAGGTTGTGGTAACAATTGACACTGAAGTCCAAAGCGATTGTGGCAGACTGTCACAGAGAGCGAAGACAAGGACAAGCCCAAGATCATCGTTCCTCCTGGCTCGATCCTCCACAAGGTCCCATGTGCGTGGTGCATGGTGAAGAAGACAGCCTGCATCAGACCTGTTGGGCAGACGTGCGATGGCTGTGTGCAAATGAAGCAGGGGTGCAAGAAGTTGACAAAGGCCATGGGAAAGAAGGCACAGGCAGGTGCATCGGTCAGTAAGTAACAACCCCACCTCAGGAGGTGTGAAGTTAATGGCTAGCAGCATGGGCCTTGAAGACTGCGAAGGCAAGCTCATCCAAGAGAGTCATAGACGATGATGACAATGATGACGAAGTCAAGGTGGTCGAAAGCCACACGCATGCGAAGGGGAAAGCACCAGTGTGTAGCCGGCTCGATGCCAAGGTTGTGGCCGACCTGTTGCAGTCGCTGAGGCCGTGGAGTCGCAGGCTGCATACCTTTGCCTGCAGGTGCATGTCGATCAACTTGCTGAAGCTCTGGAGAAGATTGGGGTGGAATAAGAATGTTTATAGTTAGTTCAGATTTATTGTACTGTCCCATCCACATGTCAGTGCATACTGCACTAAATATACTGCTTTGCTTGCTTCTGTGCGAAGTTGCGAATGACTGGACATGCTTGAAGATGAGCCATGGGGAAGTGCAGCTGTGGTGAGATATGGTGCATGGGGTACCGCCCGACTTGTCTTCTTTGTGTGACTTTCAACTTCTCTCAGTGGTATGTCCTCATGAAACAATCTTGATGGTAGGATGTGATGGATTCTTGAAGAGGAAGTGAAGGGACTGTTTATTGGGTAGCTGGGATGGTCTTTGTGTATCAATTGTAAGGAGATGGAAGGAGAATTGAAAGAAAAATAAATCAAGGGGTGCACGCTGACTGTGCGATCGAAGAGGAAATGTGCAGGGTGGTTGCAAGTATATGCAGTATAGAGTGGCCGAAGACGGTATCAGCAAGACTAGTAAGAGAGATAGGAGAGACATTGTTTTGGCTATATACTTATTCAGTGTTTTGTTATTTTTCTGGACGGTTTTGGACTTTTTGTAAGCGGTTTTTATGTTTTTTGAGCGGGGACTAGCTATCAGTAGAATCACTGGATGAAACCTGGGGTGGAATAGAGGTCTCTGGACGAAACCTGGGGTAAAACAGATAAAAGGAAATGAACTATGTCTGATATCGGGTGGATCAAGTGGTATGCTGGTCACCCCTGCAGGGGACTTTGAATGCTGACTGTCCCCAGTCAGCATGGGAGAAGGAACAAGTGTAGTAGAAGAAGCCGTGGGGAGGCAGGCGAGGCCACGGAAAGAGGTATGGGTATCGTGGGAGAAGAGGGTACAGGGGAATAGTGTGATGGACAAACTGTGGATACTGGAAGAGACAGATAGTCAGCTGTTCGTGGAAAAAGCCTCCACATCATCATCAGTGGGGTCATCCTCAGCTTCCTCAAGCAGGTGGTCTAGCTCCTCATCATCCAACCCAGTAATGCAAGTCACAGTTGCACAGGTCTGGGACCACGGGTGGTAGGGAAGTAAGCGGAATGCAGCAAAGCAGAGTTTGGAGATGGAGCCATCCAGCTCAGCCAGCAGGTATGAACCCCCAGTGGTCCAATGAAGGACAACCATGGGACCAGTGTACTGTGGCTTTGTCTTCTGGTTCAGCTCTTTCTCTATGCAGGAGTTGCGAACAAGCACAAGAGTGCCAGGAGCAAAGTTATGGTCTTTAATGCGATGCTGAAAGGCGGTTTTGAACTGCTGGATAGACTGGAAGCATGCACGGAGGACATTGCTGTGGACCTGGTCTAAGTCATCCTGATGCTTCTGTAACTGGTGTGCTTGCCAAGCTATCAGTTCTGTGGTAGTCAGTGGTGTCGCATCATCACGGGACAGGGGTAAAAGGAAAGTAGCCTTGGCAAGGTTGAATGGGAACAGCAGTTTGACACCATGTACCATGAAATAAGGGGATAGACCCATGGATTTCAAAATGGTGACCCACTCGGCCCAGAAGACAGAATGCACAACGGTGTGCCAGCAGTGATCATCATTCTCACAGCTCTTCATGATAGCCTTGCAAACATCATAGTGGCAACACTCTACAATGCCATTAGCCTGAGAGTTGTAAGGAGAGATACAGATGTGGCGGATATGATATTGCACAGCTAGGGCATCTAAGGCTTGGATGAACGTGGGACCATTGTCAGTGACAATCTCGGTGAGCAGACCCCAGCAGCATAGGACATCCTCAAAGATGAAGGATGCAAGCATGGTACTATTTTCTGTGTGCAACATATGCCATTCAGGATAAGAGGTGAGCGTGCAATGAGCCTGTACTATGTAGCGGTAGCCACTGGCTTTGGGCATCAGCATCGTGTCAATGTGAGCTTTATGAAACAGGCACCCTATCATGGGTACAGCGGGGGGGATATGAAGCTTCTGTGTCTGGCAGATCTGGCATTCATGACAAGTGTGGACATACCACTTCACATCTTCGACAAGAAGAGGCCACCAGAAGCGAAGGAGAAGGTGCATGCAGACCATGAACACACCCTTGTGTCCGAGGTCATCATGCGCTTCTTTGATGAGATGATACTGCTTGGATTCATCAACAACTAGCTGGTGCTGTCCATGCAGTTCTCTACGCCATAGACTTCCATCTAGGAGGAAGAAGTGGCCAGCTGAGTTGAAGAAAGATGAGTACTGCGCATCAGTAAGGTCAGGTGGTCGCTTGTGGGTCGCAAGGAATGCACAGATCATTTCTATCTTTGCTTCGCATGCCCGAGCCTTCATGGATCACAGAATGGCAGGGTTTTCAGGGGTATCGGAAGGGTTATTAGCATCAGCAGTCATAGAGAATGCAAAATAGAAGGATGCAGGCAGTGGGAGGCTTGCCTGATGGTAAGCAGGTGGCGGTAGGGAATGGTGATCTTCATTGGAAAGTGACATAGGAGGTGGGTGGTCGTTGACAACCTGTGTAGAGAAAGAGTAAAAACGGTCTAGCCAATCCTCATGGTCATTGTCCTCGGGCGGGTCGAGCTCTGACCATGGACAGCAGGATAAGCCATCAGGGCCAGCATGCCTGTCTGCGGGAATGTGGATGAGTTTGAACGAGAAAAGGAGGACACCAGCGATCCAGCAATTGATCGTCGTGTTAGGCTGCAGATCTGGGTTATTTATCATGCCCTTAATATACTTCATATCTACCTCCACAGTGAAGTTAGTGAGACCAAAGATGTATATGCATACTGCACGGAAGAGACTGTACAACTCAAGCTTGGCCTGGGAGTAATGGCTTTCCACTTCGTTGAGGGTGATGGATCCAAAGCAACTCGGGTACCGTCTGCCATCTTTGCCGAGCTGGTAGAGGATGTAGCCAACTGCGATGACCAATGTGTCTACTGCTAGAATTACTTCACGACTGCACTCGTAGTCAATTCTTTGGAGTGTGGGGGACTTTACAATTTCATCCTTGAGTCGTTGCATGGCAGCACATTGCAGCTCGTCCCATGTGAATGGTACATCTTTCTGTGTGAGCGCGACTAGTGGCCATGCAATCTTGGCGAAGTCTTTGATGAAGATGTGTAGCACACTGCAGACACCAAGGAAAGTGTGAACCTGAGTCAGGTTGCGGCACTCAGGCCAGTCGCAGATCTTCTGCACTTTGCTTTCTTCAGGAATGTGACCTTCAAAGGTGCACTTGTGGCCAACAATCACTGCAGATGGAGCAGCTAGTACAAACTTTTTTGCCAAGACGGTGGCTCCGACATTCTGCAAACACTGAAGGATACAGTTAATGACTATACAGTGGTTCCAGATAAATTTCCGAATCCCAGGATTCTCTGGGATAGTCTCATAGGACCCGTCTGCATGCTGATAGCAGGTGGTCTCGGATTTTACGGGGACGTCATCTATGAAGGGCAAGGTATGATGTGGGATCTCATCCTGGAGAACAAATGCAGTATCTCCCTGGTATACCTGGACTGCGTTCGCATGACCTTGCAGCAGGGTAGTAAGCTGGTGCGGCCCAAGTGGGGTACTGAAAGTGGTGAGGTTGTGGGAATCCATGTGAAGTGCACACTGGTCATACCTGGAGTAGAGGTCCATCATCACATATACTGCGTACCTGGCAAAGGATTCTGCGAGATGTTCTACAAAGGGCAGAATGGACACATTGCGGATGGTCACTGCATTCAGGGGCTGTAAGTCATGCACAAGGCGAAGAGACTTTCCGTCTTTCTTTACTACGCAGAACCAGTGGGAGCGGTAAGCCGCTGTAGAAGGTTCATACATGCCGGACTTGATGCGATCTTTAATCATGTCTATGACTTGGGCATGTATCATGTTCGGGATAGGGATATTGCATTGGACCCAAGGCATGTGCAGAATTGTAGGAATCTTTACTGGCAGAAAATAGCATTCATCTAGGTGTCTGCGCTCTGTAATGTCCCAAGCAAATGCAAGCTCATGGACCGAAACGAGCCAAGTTATGAGTTTAAGTTCTTCTGGCCAAAGCCAATCTGCAGGATTGAGGTCAAGTTCTGTGGCCCGTTCAGCAGTGAAGCAGATGCCTGGAGCGAAGTCTGGTGGATGGGTTGGAAGTGGTTGGAGACCAGTGAGCGGGTTGTCAGGCAGGCTGCACACGATGCGGTATTCTTCTGCCATCAGGGCAGGTACCATCTGAACCTTCTTGGCAACTGGCTTGTAAACGAGAGTGCGAACTTCAGGGTCTAGTTGATAAATGCTGCCGAATGCAGCTATAGCAGAGGGGTTTAGTATTGTCTGAGTGGAAGAGAGGAAAGCAAAAGCAGGCAAGGGTATTCCAGTGGGTATGTTCCACGGTATGATTGCCATGGGCAAAGGGAAGTTTGTAGAAGTGAAAGCTAGTGATGATACTGTAGGACTGAGGAACAGATAACAGCAGCTAAATAGGAAACAGGATGTTTTAGTAGGCTCTCCCCAACTGCTTGGTGGATCATTGATATTCAAAAACCCCATTCAACTATACTCTGGTGACTACGGCAGTGCTTGCCACATTTGCAGTGTGGACAGCCCTCATGCCACAGGCACATGGGCACAGTGTACTCACAGCCATTGTTTGGGTCTTGGAGAGTGATCCACTGTCTGCCATCGGGATAATCATTTGTTACCACACTCATAAGGCAAATGAATGGACATCCAAGGAGCATGTCAAAGTTGGCATGTTCAATTACTTGAACCTGTAGCATGACTGGCCCGGTGCTGAAGTCGAGTTTCAGGTTCTCTAGTACACCTACAGTAGTGTCTTTAGACATGTTAGCAGATGTCATAGTCATGAGATGATCGCAGCGCAATGGAGGCCCGATCTTTTCCCAAACATGCCTGGGCATGGTGACAATTTCTGAACCAGAATCTAGTACGCAGTTGATTGTGACATCGGTCCCGGGGACCTTGGCTTCGATGCAGCAGAGCAGCAGAGTGTGGTGAGCTACAATGGAGCCATCATCACTGCAGATAACATGGTCTCCATATTCACATGCGGTTCTTTGAGGATCACAGCTGGTCAGTTCATTCACTTGTACTCCTTCTTCATTGTTGCTATGAACTACCTCAATCTCATTTGTGGTGACATGTTTTGCCATGGTGATGTCTCTGAACTGTTTGTGAAACTCTGGGGCTACTGCAAATAATTCTTTGACTGGCATGGCAATGCTGGTTTCAAGTATGCGCTCCACAATATGCTTGGGCATGGCTTTGTCTTCGAGTGGGAATGAGTAACGATACTGGTTTTGATTGCGAGATGCTGGGTACAGTGTCTGCAACGGAACAACTGCCGCAGGAACAGGAACCTTGCACGCAGGCGTTGGAGCTGGACTAGTTGGAGGAACATATGGTTTCATAGTGGTGGACGTTGCTGCAGGTGTAGAGGGATTGGATGCCTGGCAAGCGGCATGTGAACTTTGAACACCAGGGGAAATGATTTCCTCTTCAACAGTGGCTGCACGTGGGTCGACTTGTGGAGGGTTGGCAGGACATGCCACAGGTTGAGCTGTGATTTCAACTCCGTCGAAGCAGGCTTTCTTTCTGCAGGGAATGACTGCTCCCTTGTTACCTTTATCCGCTTGGTAGGTAGCCCAAGCTTGAGCGACATATGCTTGGAAGTCAGGGTCGGCTAAGTCTGCAACAGGTTCATCAGCATCTTGGACAGTGTTTAAGAAGGCAGAAGGCAGGATTTCCAACTGCATGTCAATTTCAGGATGAGCAATGCAGAAGAGGTTAGCGGTGCCTTGCACGGAGCAGCAGGAGTCACAGCACACGTGCTGGCCTGGTCTCTGTCAGCCATGACATGGTCAACAGCCTCTCTCAGTGAGTTACATTCAGGGAAACATGGGATTCGGCTCCTGTCTGCCAGATAGAGACAGTTGTCTGTACCTCTCGTGATCTTACCAGCATGGATATAAACTTCAATGAGCACACACATCCTTGTCCAGTGGTTGGGGTCTGCACAGAAGCCGCAGCTGGGTCTGCGTTGCTGTGGTGGAGGCTGCATCTGGAAGTTGCATTCCTGTTTAACAACAGTACTAGCAGGTGGCACCTGCAGCATGTAAGCCAACGAGGGAGGTGCAGCTGGCGAGGCTGCGGTACCCATTGTCAGTACCATGCTATGAAGAGTGGATCCTGTCAGAAGGAACTTGGCAGCTTTGACGACTTCTGCAAGTGGGTATGGATCATCAGGGTGGAGGTTGGTGCGAACTATAGAGAGTCGATGACGAATATGATCTGTGATGGCCCTCGGGAAGCCATTCAGGAACATGGAATCCCGTTCTGTCTCTGCAAGCTTTTTAGTTTTAATGAGCAGGGCAGAAATCTTAGCGAATTTCCGCTGGTATTCTCCGAGGTCATCCTGGTTCCACATAGGCTTGGACTGATATTCTTCGACAAGGTACTGCAAGTCTGCATGGCAGTAGCAGTCGTCACCCTCGCAGCCAGGGTACAAACCCTTAACAGCTACTACGAAGGCATCCCAGTCATCGGCTGTGGGAGCGGCTTCTGGGAGCATTTGCCAGACCTTGGCTTCTTCGAGGTCAGCATAGCAGATTGCAGCTCTGATCTTGCCACAGTCATCAAGAGCAGCGAGAGTACCAAGGAAGTTGATGTCTTCGAGGTAGTGCGGAAGCTGCATGGGAGAATCTCCACTAAATTTAGGTGAGTTTTGTGTTCCGCAGAGCGGCATCTGAAACTGAGGATTAGCCATTGGTGGGTTAACCTGTGGTGGTGGTGCTGGATTGGTAATGGATGGAACGGGTATTGGTTGCGGGTGCGAAGCAGTTGGTATAGTGCATGAGCGAGCTGGCAGAAGCGTTGGTGGGTTACTAATTGGCTGATGGGTGGTCTGCGACTGAGTGAGTGGTCATGGCAGTGTGGTGGATGGAACTGAGAGTCTGGGTATAGATTCGGAGGCATCAAAGAGACAGGAAAAAGAGGGTGTTGGTGATGGTGAATCAGATGATGTGACAGGTGTTAAAGGTGATGGCAGGGTTTTGGGCCTTCAGGGAGTCGAGTGGATAAAGCCACTGGGAAAATCAGGGGCAGTGAGATCTAGGTGATCTGATGCGGCAGATATCTGATCTGCTGAGATATCAGGAGGAGTGATCGTGGGTAGTACCCATGGAATGTCAGCAGGTAATTGCGCATGATCCAGTGTTACGGGTGAAACAGGGTGGAAAATGTCAGAGTCTTCTGACAGGTTGAGATTGCGAAAGTGCAGGCATAAATTTTCTAGTTTGGTGTGTTTGGTGGTGCACCTGAGCAACCTTCTGGAAGCAACAGCAGAATCCCTCACGGTGGGCTCCAGTTGTAGGAAAAGTCCAAGTAGCTGTATAATACGAGCTAGATGGCTTAGATAACAACAATAAAAAAATGAAGGGAACGAATTGCTTGTCTCAAGGGATTCTGGACTGTCAAGACTAGAAGGTGAGACCTGGTGCTTTGTAGCAGTAGTGGTTCGTGACATGTGCAGCGTGGTCTGCGGAATAGTACTGGCGATGTGAGCAGTGCAAGTGGTATATGTAGTTCGTGCACAGCAGAATGTGAGACGTGCAGTATAGACAAAGTGTAAAGGAAACTTGTGGTGACCTTCTGAGTGCCAAAAGGTATCATTCTGTACCTAAGTACAGGGCTTTATAGTCCAGACAAACCCAGAACCTAAGTAAGACAGGGTACAGTAAGGGAAAGCTGCACGACAGTGCATACACAGAAGACAGGCCAAAACAGAGGCCGAGGGTATACTACAAGCACTAAAGGAATAGAGACCGTGATAAGAGAAAGAGTCCGAGGAAAAACAACAACTGGAGCACAGCAGCTGTGGGTATAGCATTGCGCGAGAGGGAGTGAGGGCGTGGGAAGGTAGCGCATGAACAACGGTGAATGCGAGAGGGGAGTGGACATAACAGTAGTCACAGAATGGTTAATGATAGGGGCTTATGCGTCCAGGGAATGTGGATTCCTCACAATGTGCTGCAGGATTGTCAAGTCTATGGAGAGGAATATACTCAGACTTCAAGTTGGTTGAAGCTTAAACAATGAACTACCTATGGAGAGGAATATACTGTAGGTAGGTAAGTAAGTGTTCCAATATAATGAATGGAAGGAGTCCCACCTCAGACTTCAAGTTGGTTGAAGCTGAGGTGCAGTAAGGAAAAAATAAACTGCTAAGTGTCCGCTTTTGGATTACATAATGCTGTGCTCAGTGAACCACAACTAAGGTAAAGGTGATAAACTCCAACACCTCTGAAATATGAGGGCTGAGATCATGCAAGGGGGTAGCACACAAGCTAAACACAATGCCCTCACTCTGCTCCACCTTTATCTCAGTGGACTTCATTCCTGCCAACACTTCACCAGTTGGAGTTCAGTTCTTTCTGTCAGACTTCCTTCTGAACCTCTCCCCAGCCCTTGCCTAGCATCAGAGTTGGTCAGAGTAGGCCCAGACTTGACACAGAGCAAATGCAGGCAAAACCACCATCCTCCAAAAGGTCTTGAAATCTGATATAGATATGCTGGAAGTTTTTGATGGGAAAGGAAACAAGGTAAAGTCCCATCAGGTTGGTGATACATTTCTAATGATTTTCAGATTAAGGATATCATTCTGTGAGGCACTTCGACAGTAAGTTGCCATTTTAACTGGACATTTGTATTGATGCTCAGTGCTTCCAGTGTGGCTACCATAGTATTGAGCATGAGCTAGTTTTTCAGGGAAACCCAGGTTTTGTATTCCATGACTCCTGTGGGTTCAAAGTGGGAACTGCACAGCAGTTTGACCAGATGAAGAACTTTGTAGTTGACCATGCAGCCATGGCAAGGAGTGTGAATAAGCATATCCATGCTATCTGGTAAGGACTGCATTGTGAGTGGCTTCAGACTGAGGTGACAGATCAATTTAGGTACTGCATCCCTATGACTGAGAGCTGCAGGACAGTAATTGCTGCTGAGGAGAAATTCTTCAATGAGTGTGACACAGGATATGGTAAGTATTCTTGGTCAGACCAGATATAGCTGCCATGTAACTGAGAGTTGGCTTAGTTCCTGTGATAGTATTGTTGACAAAAGTGGATGCTTTGAACATTGATGCCATTCAAGAACTTGAAGATGAAGGCATAGAAGTGACACAGGAAAAGGTTTCTGAAAAGGAAAGGGGATTGTTGGAAAAGTGGCTTGCACATATAAAAAATGAGCTTGATAAGTGCAAATTTCCACCTAGAGGATATTTGTCACTTCAGAGTGGGCATTTCTTCACTTAGGGATGGGCTGCTAGAAACTCCTTGGGGCAGATATGCATCAAGAAAATGCAGACTCCAGTGCTTTGATGAAATGCACAGCAGATGTTTTGAATGAGGAAGGTTTACAAAAGTTGCTTATATCAACACAACAGTCAAGCATTGCACTGTGTGTTGTGTATGCTGTACAGAAGTAAGTAAGCAATTATATGGTAGGATAGATACTGATGAGTTCTGAAGGACTTTGAGATGACAAATACAGTTAGGACTTATGGGCAGCCTTGAACTGGATGTGAAAAGGCTTGAATATTCTCTGCTGAGCTGGTTTCCAAATTGTATGGTGAGTTCCCAAATTCTTCCAACATAAAGGGTCAATAATACTCCTATTCTGTTGTTACTTACACTTATTACCAGGATGTGAGTAACCATATGGCATATTGAATTAACTGACTGGACTCACTTGCATTGGTTGTGTGACAGTATGTAAGCAGTATCATGGCTGGTTTGACTGGATGTCTGCTGATTGGCACTGCTTGCTCTTCATGTTGGTGGCATGACAGGGGGTGAGTGATTTCATTGCATATTCATATTTGACTGGACCTCTGCTGAATGGTGTCACTTGCACTCTTCTGTTGGTTGCATGGCAGGAGGTGAATGATTTCATGGTATATTCAGCTGGATGCATGCTGAATGGCCTCACTTGTACTCCTCCCCCTGGTGGCTTGACAGGGGGTGAGTGATTTCATGATATATGCATATGTAACTGGATGTTCACTGAATAACCTCACCCTACTCTTCATGTTGGTGGCATAACAGTATGTGAGTGATTTCATGGCATGTTTGGCTGGATGTCTACTGAATGGCCTCACTTGCATTCTTCATGTTGGTGGCATGACAGGATGTGAGTGATTCCATGACATCTTTAGCTGGGTGTCTGCTGACTGGCCTCACTTGCACCCTTCATATTGGTGGCATGACAGGGGGTGAGTGATTTCATTGCATGTTTAGCTGGATGTCTGATGAAGGACCTCACTTGGTGATATGACAGTGGGTGAGTAATTCCATGACATATTTAGCTGGTTCTCACTCCCTGCTGAATTGTGCCACTTGTGCTCTTTGTGTTGGTGGCATGATAGGGGGTGAGTGATTTCATGGCATGTTTAGTTGGGTATCTGATGAATGACATAACTTGTACTCTTTATATTGGTGTAATGACAAGCTAGATCTCTGCTGAATGGTGCTACTTGCACTCTTCATGTTGGTGGCATGATAGTGGGTGAGTGATTTCATGGATTATTATTATTTAACTGGATGTATGCTCAATGACCTCACTTGCACTCTTCATGTTGGTTGCATGACAGGATGTGAGTGATTTAATGATATATTTAGTTGGATGTCTATTCAATGGCTTCACTTGCACTCTTGATGTTGGTGGCATGGCAGGAGGTGAGTGATTTCATGATGTTTAGCTGGATCTCTGTTGAATAGCATCACTTCTACTCTCCATGTTGGTGGCATGACAGGATGTGAGTTATTTAACATTATCTTTGGCTGGATCACTCCTGAATGGCCCCACTTGCAATCTTTACATTGGTGGTATGACAGGATGTGAGTGATCTCTTGATGTCTTCAGCTACATACATATGTGCTGAATGGCCTCATGTGTACTCTTCATGTTGGTGGTACAACAGTGGGTAAGTAATGTCATGGCATATTTGGCTGGATGACTGTTGAATGGCCTCACTTGCAGCAGGTACATGATTTCCTGGCATGTTTAGCTGGATCTCTGGTGACCAATCACTTCTATTCATCATGTTGATAATATTGCAGAATGTGAGCAAACTTAGAGAGATGGAGATGTTGGAACCTTCCTCATTACTTTCACTCCTTTCCTTCTTGTCTCACTTCACCCATAGCTTGTAAGTGACTTGGGCATGTTGCCTGGATATCTACTGACTTTCTCTCCTGATGCCACTATAACAGAATGTGAGTGATTGCATGGCTGATTCAGTGCACAGTCTGATTACCATTGTCTATTGCACTCTTGGTGTGACCTCAGGAGGTAGGCATACTCACAGGGCCAGAAGCCACCTTGATTTCCTATTCATGATGTGGTTGTATTTCTGACATCTATGCCATCAAAAATTTTAGTTTGTAAGTGCTCAGTTGCTATCTTCCTTTGTCAAAGGCAAACATGTACAATCACAGTCCAAATTTGAAGTGGATGCTGATATCCCAATGCCACCTTTACCTGGGGATGTCACTTTGTTGGAGAAGTTCCCAACTGTCCAGTCCATAGCTGAACATGCCATTGGTATGGATTTGTTATCCTCTGTGAAAGGTTCACTCACTCTTCTAGGATGCTTGCTTGTTGCTGAGCATTGTTACTTTTTAATGCAGCAAGGACACTATCTGTGGGAGGAGGCATTGCCACTGGCTGTGGAGGAATACAAAAAGCTCTAATATACAGACTTCAATTTCCAAAGCTGTCACCACAGTTTTTCTTGACAATAATGGTGATGTGGATGGTTTGTGCAAAGCTATTATCAAAGTCATCAGGGACCATTGCATGTGTAAGTGGATAATACTGATGTTTATGAAGCACTGATTCTCAGATGTTCTCAGCAAACAAATTGGTGAGGGGAGGCAAATAAAGTTCATATGGACATGGATGCATGTAGCTGTGGTTGATATATATAACAAAGAGCACATGATGGATCAACAAAAGAGATGCATCTTTTGCAACACACCCTCAACCACTGAAGTCCTTCAAGGCAGATGGATGCACTAGCATTTTGAAAGAGATCATCTGTAACACTAATCCAGCAGGTGTGAGGATGCATCATGGAATGGAACAAATGGATTGACAATACAAGCACTTGATAAACCAGACATTTAAATATTTCCCCTATTTCAACAGCTTCTTTGCTGAAAAGTACCAGTTGAGCATGTCAAACCCACAAAGAAGCCATAGCTTACACATCTGATTGGCCTGTGCAATACCAACAAGTATGGGACATAAAGCCTCTACATTATCACCATGTTCTTCAAGAGCCACTTCAATAAGATGAATAACTCTAGCTTGGACACCTTACATCCATTACTCCTTGACAGCCAAAGTCAAGTATTTTTTAACATTATGATGACTTCCCTGATTGACTTGCAACAAGAAGTACAAATACTCAAACACCAAAATAGATCCTGCAATGATGAGTACATGTCTTAAAGAGAGAAGGAAAACATAACTCACCAATGCCATGTTCCATAATATATCTCATTGGAGATTGCAAGGATGCTGACAGTGTAGGCATTGTGAAAGAAGCTGATTGGTGTGGAATATGAAGCTGTGGCAATGGTAGTTGTGGTATTTGTAGAATGAATGACAACCAAAGAGATAATGAAACTCACCACCTGAAATATGTCATGGCTGTCATGACTTCAACATTGGTGAGAAACATAGATACAAACCATCTACAAATATCATTGGTAACTCTACCAATATTGAATTGAGCACTCATACATGCTGTAAAAAGTAATTAGGGGGAGCAACAACTCAATTTGAGAGGAACTGACATGCTGATGGTTGCATGGAGAAGGATAAGGTTGAGAGCCAACTCCATAAGGGGGCACTTACATCCTGAAAGTAGGTCATTGGCACCTTCTGCAAGTATGCACAAAATGCACTCACAAACTATACAAGGTTTTAAAACACCCTTAGTTGTGCACAAAAAAACATACCTCCTATCAAGCCAAACCCAGAACATTTTAGTAACAATGGTGACATATCCTCCAATACCTGCCATGACTCTACTCACTGGCTATCAATCAAAGATGGGTGCAAACACCATGGTCAACATGCATCTATCACACTTGCCACAACTCCACCCACCAGCTATTAACCCATATCCACAAGGGTGGGATTTGACATGGTCAGCATGGATCTACCACCACCTGTCATGACACCACTCACTTGCTATCATCCCATGCGCACAAGGGTGGGAGCAAACATGTCAGCAAATATTCACCACCTACCATGACTCCACTCACTGGCTGTCAACCCAAGATGAGAACAGATATGGTCAATGTGCATCCATCACCATCTGCCACAACTCTACTCACTTGCTGTTGATTCATGTCCACATGGATGGGAGCAAATATAGTAAGCATACATTCACCACCTGCTATGATCCCACTCACTGGCTATCAACCCAAAGTGGGAGCAAATATGGTCAGTATGCATCTACAACCACAGTTATGACTCCACTTACAGACTATCAACCCAAGTCCATATGGGTGGGAACAAACATGGTCAGTATGCATCCACTACCACCTGCCATGACTTCACTAACTTGCTGTTAACCCATGTGAACATGGATACAACATAGTCAGCATGCATCTACAACCACCTGCCACAATGCCACTCACTTGCTGTCAACCCATGTCCACATAGGTGGGAACACATATGGTCAGCATGCATCCACCAACTGCCATGACTCCACTCACTCCCTATCAACCCAAGTCCACAAGGTTGGGAGAAAACATGGTCAGCATGCTCACTACCACCTGCCATGATTCCACTCACTCCCTATCAATACATGTGCACAAGGATGGCAGTAAACATGGTCAGCATGGAGCCACCACCACCTGTGATGACTCACTCCCTATCAACACATGTGCATAAGGGTGGCAGTAAACATGGTCAGCATCCATCCACTACTATCTACCATGACTCCACTTACAAGCTATCAACCCAAGTCCACAAGGGTGGGAGCAAACATGGTCAGCATCCATCCACTACTATCTACCATGACTCCACTTACAAGCTATCAACCCAAGTCCACAAGGGTGGGAGCAAACATGGTCAGCATCCATCCACCACCAACAATCACAACTCCACTCACTGGCTATTGACCCAAGTGCAAATTGGTGGCAGCAAACTTGGTCAGGATGCACCCACCACTGCCCAGTTTGGCTCCACTCACATGCTATCAACCAAAGTCCACAAGAAAGGCAGCAAATATAGTTAGCATACATCCACTACCACCATTGACTCCACTCACTGGCTATCAACCCAAGACAGGAGCAAACATGGTCAGCATGCATCCACAATCACCTGCTATGGAACCACAACTCTACTCACTTGCTAACAACCCAATTCAACACAGGTGTGAGCAAGCATGGTCAACATGCATACACCACCACATGCTATGGCTCCACCCACCTCCTATCACCCCCCCAGAGGATGGAAGTAGGCACATCAGCACATGTACATTCACCTCCACACATAAAACTTATTTTACATGTGGAAACCAAGTTGCCAGAGCAGCTGCCAATTTTGTTGGCTCTCTATGATGTAATCTCTGCTCCATGCATCCCTTCAGTGTCCTTCATAATGTCAGTATATGTCAGAGCTTCGGCTTTAATACTTACTTCATTACAGTAAATTCAATACACAGTGTTAAATTGGACTGCTGAGTCAATATAAGAAGCATTTGAAGGTTTTCTTCATTCAGGGCATTTGTTGTACATTTCAGCAGGGCAGTACAATCTGCACCTTCTTTATGCATATCTGCAGTGACCTCTCATTAACTCTGCTACATGTCAAGGCAATGATAGAGCACTTCCCTGTCAGTGGCAGAAAGCCAAAAGGCTGAAACCTGAAAACATTCAAATACCTCTTGATCTTTGCAAGATTCTCATCCAGAATCCTCTTTTGTACCTCAGCAACCTGTGCCCAATCCACCTCTAATTCAGGATCCTCAATCTCTTCCTAGCATCTAATTCCAAGATGTCTGCCTTGGTTAACAGCACAATCACAGGCACTGTAGGAACCCTCAATTCCCATAAGTATGCATGATAAGACATAGTACAGACATACCATGGCCTGTGTCACACCCATCAAAAAACTTCCTTTCAGTAGCTGTGACCATCCTGGTGGTATCACTCAATGGAATGCAATACCTGAATGATCAATTCATGAGGAACACTTCACTTCACTTAGGATGTCAGTTAGGAGATTCTTACCAGATAGCATGTACTCACATCTCCAGCTTGGGAGTCCTAGCATGATCCATTACAAATTCCTTCATTTGGTTGAATGCTGATATACTGCTAGCTTCAAAACCACAGGAGTCATGAAACACAAAGTGAGGATTGCTCTTAAACACCAACTCATTCTCAATGTCATGGTGTCCATGCTGAATACAATCAATGGCAAGTTGTATGCAATCTTGGAGGATGATCTCACCCGCAGCGAACCTTGAATTACACTAGGATCAACCTGAACATACCCAATCACATTGAAAAAGCACAAGAAATTACCATGTATTCCACATATCTTCCTTCCTTCCCCATCAAAAATTTCTGGCTGATCTGTAGTGTTACAAATCCTCTGCAAGACAGATGTTTTGCCTGAATTTGCTCTGCCCATGATAAGGATGCGAAAACGACGGATGCGATTGACATGGTCTCTAGCTTCATCAGGATTCAGGCGATAAGCAGGGGCTGTAACCAATTACTGATGTTAGACGTCGTGCCACCATTACAAGAAAATCACATGCCCTCGAGTATCCCTTCAGCTGATGCAGGAGCAATATTATTTGCGTTGCCTGGGGCAGACACAGGTAGGTTAACTTTGGTCTACACAGAAGCGCATTTTTTCCCCTAGCTAGTAGAGCGTACCTGTTTGGGCGACTCCAGTGGGAGCGATAACCACTTGTGGAACAATCACACCGCTGCTCAGAGGCCGCCGCTTCCATGAACACCATAATGCGCCGAAAGACCCAGGAGCCATGAACGATGCAGGAATGAAGAATCAACAATTAAAAAGGAAGTTTCGGAACGTCCAGAGAGGCAGTGGGCAGAGAACAATGATAGCAGACAAGTGTGAAGGGGTGTGGAGCTGCGGGCTTTGCAGACTTGTGTCGGTCGATATCACCACGCCTATCGATAAGGGTGTAAGCAGCTGTGCACTGCCATGGTAAGGTGAGCGCCTGATAGCATGTGAGTCCTCCCGAACAGAGCGGATGCCAAGTTCATCGCATAGCAGCGCGTTCACTGTTTAGTACGTCCACGACTGTCGTTCTGCCTCAATAACCATCTGTCTTAAATGCGAAGTGCCGACGAAATTCGGCCGCTCGGCGGCGTAGGCCTGCCACCTGTTGGGATGCTTCGGTCGTCTTTCTCGGTTCCAAACCTGCCCTCCGTGGCCAGAGCGACATTGCGCCAACCCAGTACCAGAAACTGGCGCGTCCGGCGAAGAGGAGAAAAGATATGTTTCTGACGGCTTCCAAAATCGGCGTAACATGATTGTCTTTCCCCCGACGTCGACGCATCTCAAGGTGAAACATGACCCGGCTACCGGCAGTCAGCCTGATATCAATCTCTCATTCTTCCTGACGGTAGAAGTGGCGACGCCTGTTTATCCCCACCACGTCCTGGCCTAGTCTTGAGTACCCTGGTCGCAAATCACATCCCGTCAATGGCAAAATCTCCATTCGGTTGGTCGCCCGCTCCCGTCAAGTGGTCAAGCGGAACTACCGTTGCCTAGTCTGTCACCGTACGCAGTTTCGTCTGGTTTCAGTGTCGTTTCCTGATGGAAGTTATCAGAGTTGTCGAGGAACGCGAGAATCTTGAACGGCTCCGTGAGCGATGGATAACACACGCCACCAAATCATTGGGCAGCAAACACACCCGATTGTCTTCGCGCACGCTCAAAGTCACCTTCGGAAAATCGAGAGGGAGAGTGAGAATAATTTTGATCACCTCGCCGCTTTAACGCGACCCCTAAAGTCCTCGTTCACAAATCCAGTGATATGACATCCTCCCGTTCCCATTCTCTTACTCCCAAGCCATCAAATACTCCTTTTTGTTCTTTCCACTCACGTTCTCAATTTCACGGCCATTCTTCGCACTCATCAAAATCTTTGCGAGACCCATTTCAACACTACGTATATTTTCGCTGCGAATCTTGGGGAGGTCGCTCTTTTAAAAGCTGTGTCATCATGTGGGTTGTCAGGAATGTCGAATCTAGTGCACCATTCGACGAGCATGCATTGTCGATGCAGTTATCTGTAGAGGAAAATCGTGCTCGATGACACACGCCCCCTGCAAGCATCAATGATTTCGACGAAACTGAGGGTTTGTCGCTATCTCCAAGTGCCGAACCCATTAGCATTGCTGTATCGTTACCACCTGCATTTGAAGAACACATTTCACCCGTAACTTCAGCATACCAGACCATCCGCTTTCGAAAGGCAGTCCGCCCTCTCGTTACCCCCTCTCTTCCAAGGTTCAACTCACCACCAGACGCGCACAGTATCGAAGTACGCGGGATTGCATCTGTCTACTGAACCCACCGGCGGAGAAATGGTGGAGGTCAAAGAGTTATTACCTCTGCCCTGGTGGTGTAGCATTCTCGGGTTGATGACAGTTTGATGAACCTGACGAGATCATCACACTTCGGGGCTAATCTGCATTTCAACAATCACTAAATTGGAAGTAACCCTGCGTTAGGGGATGAGACTGTGTTATATCTTCGATTTGTGAGCCGGCAACTAGCTTCCTCGTATTTCATAGGATTTTTGTAACATACTCATTGCTTTTGGGTGCTTTCCGACAGCCCGAATGGCGTTTCAGGATCGATGGAGAGACAGTCACCTCGTGCTGGTTGTAGCGGTAGTTACTGCGGACAGTATTGCGCGTGCTTTTCCTGGAGCCGAAGGGGGTGGTCGGTCGCTGCGGTTTGAGTAGGATCAAGTTGAGGTTCGCCTGCCGCATGCTGTGCGCGTCGCCCCCCTCTATTACGCCCCGACTGGGGATTGTGACTGCCTGTTCAGTGTCCACCGTATCAGTCGGTTCTCTTCAACCATGCCAGTGTCTGTCCCTCCCTTCCTGTGAGTATTAGTCGGATAGTCCCAGGTTACAATAACAGTTGCGTCAGTGCGATTCTTGTGCTTACTAAAGTATACCCAATAGTATGCGAAGATCTATCTTCTATCACTGTTTGGTCTGCCGACTCGCAAAGCAGTGTAGCAGACTACATACGTTACTGTAAAATAACGGTACCAATCCTCTCTCGTAATACCTTCCACGGATTGGCTGACTACAACGGACCGACGGGCTGACTGAGCATGCACGCTGCAGGGCCGTGGATGACGCATGCGTGGTGTTTTATGGCAAGCGGTACCGAGGCCGTGCCAGCGCTACAGCAGGTCGTAGTCATCCAACTGAGACGGAACGTAGTCAGAGATTAACGTTCTAACACCGAGATAGGCTGAACTTGCCTCATCGTTGTACGTCATGATGGTCCTCTTGAGTTTAGAGGTGTCGACCCAAGTGACGAAGTCTTCCATGTGTCTTGCACATGTGGGTTGAGGAACGAGGCAAGAATCGAACCACGGACGGCTCACCTTGTGACGAGGAAGGCAGGGTCCGTGATTGTATCCGGACCAACGCGAACGTGTCCCTGTTCGATGAACTTTGCAGCCTGTAAAGTCCGTGTTTAAACGCAAATTCGAAGGATGCCATGATGCACGGGGATGCGTACTGCGCTGACTGTCTCTGCCATTTTGCTCATGCACATGAACACGGCAAGGCGCCGACGACAGAACGCGGCTACGGTCAATTTGTTCTCTATGTCGCTGAGCTTTGCTTGGGAGTTGAGCACGCCGATATCATATAGTTTGGAAAGGAGTTGGCCTTCCATTTTGGCACGGAATGGATCCTGTGCGGGAAGCATGGAGAGGCGATGGGCAAATGACCTCAACGAGCCACATAGTTTATTGTATCTGGGCCGAGGTCAGCTGGGGAAGAATTGAATGGCGATCGAGGGCAGTGTACTTGTGGTAGTCTTCTCTGTCCTGGAGATGGTACCGACGGATGACCTTGATCTCGCGCAGGTTGGCATCCTGTTTCCACTGTTTTGCGTCTGGTCAGCGTCTTCTCCTTCCCCCCACGAGCTTTGCACGTACGTTTAGAAAGTCGACTTTCTTGAGGAGCTTCTGTTCGTGATGCTTGAACTTGCGGACCATCAGTTGCTGCCAGGAGGAGAGGAATAATATTTTTTTGTAAAATAATAAAATATTTAGTTTAAGCCACGTGGATGGGGCTGGGTGTGTGTGTCGTCGACCAATTGAAGGGACCGCCCAGAGTCTGAGCCTGATCCCAGTCAAAAGGCTTTTGTCCAAGTGTGCGACGGCGCGGCGACGACAACGACAGCGACAGCGACGACAGGCCATTCATTAAAAATTATCGGGAGGTGTGCTTGACTAGACTTATCTTGCATTGTCAGGTGTATCGTCGTGCATTGTTCGGTCTGACTGTCGCCGATCTGTCTGGAATTCCTCCAACTGACGCCCCCCTCCTGCTTCTCTCGACGCCCCCCTCCCACTGCTTGCATCTACCGTCATACCCCACCCCAGCCCCTCTCCGCTGTCTTGTTTGGCAAGGCGTCTCCAGTCGCTCCAACGTCAAACGCATTAGATGAACGTGAACGTCCGTCAGTCCGAAATGCTCAGGCAGCAGAACATGCCGCCAATCCCACCCGTCGCAAACAGCCACTTCCTACCCCAACAACAACAGCCCCGCCAGCAACAACAGCCTCCGAACCACATGAACCTCATGGCCAATGCTAATAATCCCCAAATGTCCCTTCTCGGAGGCGGTGCCCAGGCCAATCCTAATTCCCTCCCGATGTCTACTCAGAGGTACCAAATGCCTCAGCAAAACACCTTGCAGCATGGTCAGAATCCACAGATCAATCCATCGGCAGCCGCCCCAGGCCCGACTCACATGTCCGCCCTCGGTGCGCTCCCAGGCATGCCTATCCAGCCTCACCACCCTGCGAACGGTATACAGGTACGCCGGACCCAGTCGCACCCTCAAGGTCTGAACGGTCATGTTCCATCCATGATCCCGAGCCAGCAGGCAGTCAATAGCATGAACATGGCCATGAACCCACAGGGCTCCCTGCCCAACCAACTGCGTCAGCCAGGTCAACCAACCATGATGCCTCGTCTGCCAGGTCATATGCCTGGATCGATGTCTCCAGATATCCTGGGCCGTCAATCAAACCCTCCTGGTGTACCCCAGGGCTCCCTCAGGCAAGGAAGCCAAACACAGTTGATGAACAGTCTTGCACAGCCATCCCTGCAGCAGTCCATGGCACAAAACGCATTCCAACAATCAGTCCCACATCCTCACCATTCCTCTTCGCTAACTTCTTCTCCACGTCCCGGCGGCCACCCGCAACAACACCAATCCGCTAACATGATGATGTCGGCTCCCGGCCCCTCACAGGCATCTGGTCCCAGACCGATGGGTCATGGCGAGAACACGTTCGTTGGCATCTCTAATCCTCAGTTTCCTGCAAACATGGTGCACGGTTCGGCTCGAATACCAAACAACGGTTCCACATTTCCTTTTGGCCCTCCGGTCTCCCAGAATGATCCCATGGAGATGTCCCAATCGTTGGCTGACGGGCTGGCCAACGCCGCCAATCCCCCACAACTACGTCCAGGCTTCCAGCCACCATCGACACAGCAGTTCGAACAGCTGCAACAAACTGACAACTTCGGTTCTCACTTCAACTTACAGTCCCAGGGAAATGCGCCACCCACTCGTCCACCTTCACATCCAAGCAGTGTACACGGCAACTCTATACCTCCTCGTTCCATGCAGCCCCCCTCACAACACTCTCCTCGCCAGTCCGACCCTATGACGGGGCATATACAGCAGCAGCCACAGCGACCACAATCCCAGCCACAAGGACCACCTGGTAGACCACCATCATCACAGACCGGACCATCGCATACCCCACGATCCTCGCAATCACAACTTCCACAATCTGCTCTCGTCCCACCTACACGGATGCCTCCCCAAACTCAACCCCAAGCCTCACCCCATCAGCAACGACAATCACCGTCTGTGCAACCACCCATTGCACCGCGTCCACCGCAAGGACAATCAGCAAACGCAGTGCCTATGCACCCCGCTGCTGCCTCAGATCCAGGTGCATCGCAACCGCAACCAACCATGATTTCCCGGCCTCAGGTGTGAGTACAACTTTGGGATCTAACTGCATCCCCACGCAGACCCTGACCTGTTATACGAGTAGTATTGCCCCCCCGTTGGGATTCGGCCAGGGGTGTATTCGGCTGCTGCAGTTTAGTGGTCAGCTTTCCAGCGAGGGCAATGAGGTTAGCCATTCTCCTCGTCTCCTGTAGCACCCGTCGATGATTATCCGCTAGGGCCAGAAACTTCGACTAAGTTTTTGGAACAACCTCGTCCAAGACTACTTTACCCCAAAGGCAGTGATGAAGATCACACTATGGAAGGATAATAAGAAAGTCGAGGCTAAACCCCTCGGTACGTGCCGTTATCACTTCTCCCACACGTCCAGCCGCCTTATTCAAATGCGTGACACTAAACACAGAAATTGGCTATTCCATATTACCCCGTTTTTTTCTGGTGACGACACAGTCTGGCGTAAAGTCGATGTCGCTTTCGCTCGATGGCGCACGAGAGCGACTTGTAACCCAGACTCATGGGGTGGTAGAGTGCGTCAGTGCAATCTGGACATACAAGTATGACAACGGGTACACGGTGACCCTGCGAGGTCCGCTCACCGTTCACATACTATTATTGCCGGTTCCGGGTTCCGCAACGCAATCATTCCAGTGTTCACTCAAAATCGAGCATTTCCAATTCGATGCCAATTTACACGAGAAGTTTATCTCCCTGGATGCTATTACTGGCACCCGCGCTATCGAGTCTCCCAAGACGCCTAGGGTGCGCAACAACCCGACACCTGGTCCAAATGGTGCTCCGCTTCCGGGTAGCCATCGCACGGAGGAAGATAGACAGTGGGAAGAGCCTCGAGTACTCATTAGAGATGCATCTTTACCAGGCGAGCCTGTGAATGCCTTTGGCATTCCACAGGTGACGATGCGATGCCTGGAGGTAAGTCACCAACACGCCTCGAATGACAGCATTTTCCGAGATTGTGACGCTTTGCAGTTGGCCGAGGGTGTGAGTCAGATGACGGAGTTGATCGCGTTTGCAAGGGAAACGGATCAAGGGCCTAGGGGTAGCTACGGGTTCTGGTCCCAACGATCGTCTTTTCTGACCTAGCTTTTCTTTTAGACGCATTGAAGCAGTTTGCACAAAGAATTCGAGAAAGCCCTTCTGCTCACGGGATGTTGCCGGGATCTGTAAATGGACTAGGGGGTTTTCAGGGCTTTGGCGGCGTTCTACACCCATCACCAGCTGTGACACTACACCCCGGCATGTCGACGACTTCGATACACCCAGGTCCATCATCTGGCAGCTCACCACAGCAACAAAGCGCGCCGCCCTCTGCTGATACCCCACAAAAGCAGAGTAAGCTGCCTCATACCTCCGGCCAAGCTCCCCCGCCTAATAATCAGCCTCCCGCTCCCCCTTCGCAGGCGGGACTGACAACAACATCCAATACGCCGTTGATGGGCGCCGCGTCACTCAAGCGCAAGCCCAGCGATACCAGCAGTTCACCGACAACTGCCAACGCTGAGCCACAGTCGAAAAGAACCCGAAAAAGTTCAAAACGGAATGGTTGACTTTAAGACACACACACATACATACACCCAGAAACTGTTTTGCTATATGCCCAAATCTCAACATCCTCCTGCTGTCGCATTTTTCTTTCTCTCGTTGATTGTTTATTATTCCGACCCAGGAGAGAGAGGGAGAGGAAGAGGAAGAGGGAGGGAGAATAGGTCCCATTGGTGTTTGGATCAGTACGTATATACCAATCTACCGCCATCACTTCTCGGATTTCTTCCTTGCTTGGTTGTTGACTGTTGTCGTCGCCATCGCCGTCGTCATGCATCTTTTCCTGTTATATTCCCACCTTACCTTGCAAACAGTTACCTGTGGATTCCTTTTCGTTTCGTTTCTCTTGTTTTAGGTTGCCCCGAGTTGCTGCAGCTGGTTGTCTATTTATCGCTTTCGTGTATTACTACATTACTCAGCTTCCGAGGATTTCTAGAACTTCGGCCTACGTCCTAGCTGGATAATAGCCCCCGTGGCTTAGTGTGTTAGATCAGTGAAATATGCAGGCACAAGTTCCGCAACAATCGGCGTCAGCTACCAACCAAGCATGCACAGGTATGTTGTAAGCTCGATGCATGGCATAATCTGCCAAGCTGCGAACCTATCCTCGTTACATAAGAAGACCCTTGCGCCGTACAGCACTTGGCAAGCGCCGGGCCTCCGCTCCACTGATACTCCAGTCACACACAAGGTTAGGTTTTATGACTTCGGAGCCTGCAGGCGATAAGCCTCTAAGGGCTTATTTTGACGTCACCACAACGTTGCGATTCCGAAAACATGTCCCATTATAATTAACTCCACCGTGCATAATCCGACGAGCACGGACGACTACAAGGAGATCCGTAACAAAAAAACTATGTATGATGAGTGTAGGAGAGAAAGAGGGGGGAATGTTTTCCCTGTATCGTATACACGTGCGTTGAACGTGGACTAATAGATAGGTTCGTGGCTGAAATCGCATTGATCACCGTACTTGCATCTGTTGATATAGGATAGGGTCATCAGTTTTTTCGGGTCTCACGGATATAGAAGGAAGAAAGGAACTGAGGGGCAAAATAAAATTAATGCTCGCCTTCCTTCTGCGAAAAAACTGCATGGTTTTCGTTTACTACTTCTATACGATCCACCGTCATCCCCATTGCGTCCGCGGCCTCCCCGGCCGCCGCCGCGACCACGACCGCGCCCTCTGCCTCGATTAGTATGATTTGTATCGTCAGAGTACTCATGTTGTCCGAAGTCGGATGATCCATACGTATTCGAATTTGCAGTGGGAACGTTCCAGCTCGGGTCCATCATGCCGCCAAAACTAGAAGGAGGCTGTGCACCCTGACCGAATAAGGCTTGGGCTTGTTGCATCAATTGCTGCATCTGCTCAGGCGGAATCGTCGTTAGAATACTAGGATCGAAACCTATTGGCATAGTAGTAGTCAACCCGTTCGGCGGAGGGAGCCCCATAACTTGGTCAACTGTGCCACCCGCAAGCTGTCTTACAAGATCCGCAACGGATACCTGCTGAGTCGAAGGGATCTCGCTCCAAAAGATATGATCGCTTTCGGGACCGACGGTCATCAGCTTGACATCCGCATCCACCTCCTCTTCCAGGATCGTCATCGAAGGTTCTCCGGGACTGTCGGGTATTTGCGCCGCATTCATATACAGGGCTCCCAGGGCAGTTTGCTCTCGCTCCTCTTGTACAGACTTTTCGAAACTTTGTTGACCACGCTGCGCCACTTCACTACCCATTGGGATATCGATTACTGAGGGGGAGGCGAAAGCACAAGAGTTTCAGTCAAAGTTTCCTTGTTCAAAGTTCGAATTACGCACGTATTGGGTCCGTCCAGTCGATGAGCTCTTCGAACAGATGTGCATGCAATGCCGCACCCTCGCCCCGATCAAGATCGCGAAGACTGTGAGCAGTATGTACACCCTATTGAACGGCATCAAAACACGTGACATCAATGTACTGTACAGAAGGAAATGGAGCAAAGCGCTGACATCTACTGGATCACCATCGTAAACAGCACGTTCGATTAGCCGGATCGACTCCAGCTGGCCATCAGGCGCCCATGTCACCGTCTTCCGCTTCATCTTACCAGTAGTAGTAGAAGTAGTCATGAAATTTGATGTGGGTGTACTGGCTGCAGGAGGTGGAGTGGGTGTTGCAGGAGACTCTTTCCGTGCTTTACCCATCGACTTGAGCGCTTCTTGGAAAGGATCAATAGATGAAGGTTGGGCAACGTTGGGATCTGGTTCCTTCTTCACGGGCGCAGGTGCCTTTTTGAAGCTCGGAAGCTTCGGTTTTGGTTTTGGAGCAGAGAAAAAAGAGGAATCAGATCTGAAGTCTTTGGACGCCGGGACAGTAGGTTTAGTTTCTTTCTTCACCACAGTCGTCCTCGCCGTCGGCGCTGACGGCGAAGAAACGGCGACCTTCTTGGTGGGAGGCGGCGCTTTGGCCGCGGGAGGTTCATTCAGTTTTCGTTTTTTCACTTTGTTGTCTAACGCTGGACCATGAGCGCTTAATCGCCGAGCGAGACTGACGTGACCCACCCTCTGTAGAATTATTCTCCACCTGCTTCGTTGCAGCCTCGACTAATTGTCGCCATTTGCGTTCTAAATTGGACGCCATGTCCTTGACAGCTACAATTAGACGATAGAGGGCACCGTCGTTAGATATATTGTGCTCATTTGCTTTCGAACCCGTAATACTAATAAGTATGCGCAATGCAATGCAAAAATGTACATATCTCACGATTGGACGCATGCAAACGGACAAGTAAGAAACGGAAATGGGCAATCGCTCACCTGGTAATGGTGGGTCCTTTACCAACTTCACAATAATCTTCCCCAGTTTCGAAGTTTTCAAAGCATCGACATTCAAGGGTAATCTGTCCACGATCTGAAGAAGACACATTAGGGGCATGGCCTCAAGGGTTAGATTGACGATTTAAACTGACGTGAAGCAACGGCATTATAGTTTCAACTAACAAGTTGTCGCTCTTAGCCACAAGACCAGCTTTCAGCCATTCACGGGTGATATCCATGGCAGTCGGATTGTCCAACCATGCTCGAAAGTAGTGGTTACCCGCGTTATCTCTAATCTTCGTCAATATCTCCAACCGTAACGCGGCGTCCACGTCCTGAGACCCATAGTCGTCAAGTCGTCCCACTAGCGAGTACACTGCGCCAGCACCAGAAAATGAGTTCGGCTGCAAAAGTGATCGTATGTCACTGGAAAGCTTGATCCTCCTAGCTTCAGAATTGGCGGTTGAACTTGACGCTGCTGCCGATGGTGACGAGTGGATTCCACTTTGTGGAGTGGACGGGGTGTGAAGGACGTGAGGGGAAAGGTTGGTTTGAACTTGGTGTTGTTGATGCTGAGGTGAATAAAAGTGCGGTGGAAGAACGTAAGCGGGATTGATCGATAATGTAGGTTGTTGATACGAGTACTGCGCCTGTTGTTGCTGTGTTTGCTGCGACTGGGATGCTTGGGGCTGCGTTCGCTGAAGGTTCTCATGACTGGAAGGTTGAGTGTAGTGTTGGGCCGATTCGGATCCGCTCATCGTAGTCAAAACGGGACTAATCAGCGTGTTAGTACCGATGATAAGCGAAAAGATAATGAATTTCGTACTCGATCATCATCTGCGATTGAGTTGAGTTAGCAGGTGATGACGACTGCTGAGAAGTCGACGCTTGAGAAGCGGATGAAGAGGTCGAAGTTGCACCGTTTAGCGTCGAGTACGTGGTGAGAGGTAGTGGAGTGGGTTGAGACGACCATGACATCGCACTGTATGGCATGGCATTGTATGGACCGGGCACGGATGGAACATAGAACGGCGGAAAGGCTTGTGGGAAGTAGGATTGGGATGGGGGCGATATCGAGCTCGACGTCGACGGGCCTGCTGAGTGTCATCGTCAAACGTGGCTCGTCCAATAAAAACAAGAGAACCTCATGGAAGCAGCATTGCATTGGCATTGCTGCTACGTTGATGGGCGCTTAGAAAAATGCTTACCCGGAATGTCACCCAACCCAAAGTCGCTCAAATCCAAACCTGGGTGCGCAGTAGTAGTCGACCCTCCTGCACCGCTGCTGCCGTTGGTAGTGACCGTCGCGCGCTCTTTCCAGTCGTCGTTGGACGACAAACTAGGGGTCGACAGCTCGTTCGGTGATATTCTGCGGCCACTGACTGGGCGCGTTGGAGTATATACTATCCATCAGGACAGATTTTCTTTTTTCTCTTTCCTGGGTTTCTCAAGCGTTATTGGGCAACACTAAGGGCTTATTTCTGTGCAATCGAGACGCAGGAAAAGCAGGAGAAGAAAAACGCAGACGGTATACAAGCCTTCTATCACCTTTTGTAGGGACCCGCTACGCTCAACCGCCTGCGAATTCTGTCTCTGTGATGGTGCTGAGAGTCGAAGCGCTACTGGCCACCCAAGCGGGGGGAGTCCCTGTTGTAAGACGTTTTACTCTCCGCCCATTTCGGCGTTCCAAATTCACCCCGGCACGTCGGCAGGGGACTAATGCATCCGGATGGGTCCCATTATTGCCAGGGTTGTCGCCGGATCTACGTTCCCTTCACACGACCTCTTGGAACGACGATGACCGACCCAACAATAGCGCTAGGCTTGTGCGTCTAACAAGGGATTCTGGTACGTCAATTTATCTAGCATGACGAGTTCTATTAACGACGTTATTTCTATTCAAATGTGGCAGGTTATTGTGTCATCTTGCATTGGTTGATAAGGGACCCTTACCAATGCGGTTTACCCTACTAGTTGGGTTTCAATTTATTAGCAAACCTAATAGCCACCAACAAACAAAAGCTTATAATTGCTTACAACTATCAACAAACTAGTCAAATTTTCCCTCTTCCTACTAGTTCACTCTCGCAGAACCCCCCCATCCCTTGCAGGGCACGCGTCTCAACGCCTCCCTACCTATCATGGCCACCAAATCCTCCAAAGAAGAGGTCCCAGATGTAGAATCAACTCGATCTCAGGTTCGCGTTCGCGTCGTGTCGTGCCACAAATGGCCACTCACTCTCACTCCTATCTCAGTTCATTGCCAAGTTGGCTAACACGGCCGACGCGATGCGCAAATTCAGCACCTTCGCTGACACTCTTGCCCAAGTGGTTGCCAAAATACCACTGGATGACCCGGAGATCATCGAGACTCTCCAGGCGGTCGTCGACGCGACACCCACCGTCTCTAGGAAGCGTAAGCTCGAGGACACGACCGAAGAAGGTGGGAAGAAACGTAAACGCGAAAAGAAAACAAAAGATCCCAATGCTCCGAAGGCCCCTCCTTCCGCATACATTATGTTCCAGAATGATGTCAGGACTCGCGTCCGCTCAGAGCACCCCGACATTGCGTACAAAGAGTTGATGGGATTGATTTCCAAGCAGTGGAATGCTCTCTCTCCAGAGAAAAAACAAGTAGGTATAACATACACCCACTCGTGGCTGCTCGCTGACGTACACGCGCCAGCCTTACTTTGATAAGGTCACCAACGCGAAGAAAAATCACGAAGTGGACATGGCCAAGTACATTGCTGAGCATCCTGGCCCAGTGGAAGAAGGGTCAGTTCCCAAGAAAGCCAAGAAAGCGGCGGAGCCTGTCGAGAAACCTGTCAAGAAACCTGTATCCGCTGTATGCCACTCACTTTTCGGCGTATGCCGATAGGCTGACAATGTAACTAGAAGGCGGCTAAGCCTGCTGCCAAGTCTGTTGAACAGGCCGAGTCGCCAGAATCTGCTTTCTGAGGAGAGCTTCCGATATTTCGGACGAGGACAACGAGACGGCTAACGGAAGGCAATCTGACGATGATTCAGATGTATCCGCTTCTGAGGAAGAGGCTAAACAAAAGGAACCTACGCCTCCTCCCCCAACAAAAAGGGGCAAAAAGGAGAAGATCGAGAGGAAGAAGTAATTCGATGTGGCAGTAACACGCTGAGCTGGTTTGTGCGGTCGTTTTTTTGTTCTTCCCTCTGGTATTATACATGATCCCTTGGTACCATACAAAGCTTACGGTGTTGTTGACGATCCCATTGCGAATTCCGTTGAATGGTATTGACGTCATATAATATTCCGATTGTGCCCTGTGCTGCTTGATATCTCGAACTGAATGGCTACCGGCGTGTCACCGGATACCCACAGCAGGCTATGCTTTGCTGGGTGACTATATAAAAAGCGCAGTTCTATCGTAGCCAGCCTGCGTAAACTACAACAAACCAGTGTCCACAGGTGTCAAACCGGCAGGCGTATAAAGGTCCTCCAAGCAGCTGCCAGCTCATTTTATCCTACCGCATTATCAATGGCATCTGTTCCCCCCAATCCCGATACAAGAGAACTTCCCTTTGGTTGGATACAGCAGTACAACTGGGAGTAAGTGTCTCTGAACAACCTTCGCCTACGGCGGTGCTGATCGGTCCGTGACAGATATGGACGATGGTATGATCTCACCGTCGCTACGACCAAGCGCGAACCACTGAATAACCTTAGGTTCTATGTGAATACGCGCGAACAACCACCACGATCAACGTGGGAACACCCCTTAGGTCCCCCTCAACCGGGCTATAGCCGTTCAGGAGGCTACGCCCCTGGATATCAACAACCATACGGTAGTCCTCAACCCAATTATGGTCCGCCCGCAAACTACAGCAACGCGCCTCAAGGCGGCTACATGGGCGGGGGATATCAAGGTTCCTATCCGCAAGAGAACAGAGGGTAAGTAGCATGTGGTCTCCGTTTACGTATAGTGCGAAACGTTTGACTTTCCTGTTCAGGCCTCTTCGGCGGTTCAGGTGGACAACAGCAACCCAAGAGGAAAACTGGGATGGGGGTGGGGACCGCATTGTTGGCAGGTGAGTAAGATTACTGCGACTACTGTATCAGGGTAGATCTGAACATACGATTGCGCAATTGCAGGCGCTGCTGGTCTGGCTGGCGGTGCTCTTCTTACGGACGCGTTTGAACACCACGAGGAACGGGAAAGAGAGGAAGCTTATGACGACGGATATGACCGAGGATATGACCAGGGATGTGACCAGGACTACGATCCAGGGTACGGCTTCGATGACGGAGGAGGATGGTAAATGATGTGGCCGATAATGTTGGCGGAAACGCACTTCTGACGGCAATTTTGTAAACCCCACCGTGCACCGAACCAGGTGCTCGTTTTTGATATGTACGCATTGCCTACCTGCACTGGTATGTGCATGTCTTTGTAGGGTAGGATTTCTTGTAGAATCAGTATCGTTTTGTGGCGTCCATGTGCTTTCACAGCTCACGGCCGTGCGGGGCTATCCTCAGATATTAAGCATGCTCTCCCCATCTGCATGCTTAAGTTGCCCCCCGTGCGATGATACTGGACGGGAATGGATGATGTCGAGGTGATAGGCCATCATGAATCTTACAGCATAACATATGTAACTGGATGTCAAACAGCGATTGGGGGCTATGCACGAGTCGCTTCCAGTGCCCCGTGGGGGGCCAGTACTCCAGTGATCAGAATAGGACGAGGATGGGGACGCCAATCGAGTAATCGATCATTGACTTGTCTTAGAACACTCACTCAAGTCTTCCAATTCTATGTCTGTCTGACATACTCATCAAAAACCTTGTACATATTATGGACGTCGGAACAGGAACGAGTATGTAAGTATGACATGTGAAACTCAGACGGAGGGCCATCGATTCCTGAAGCAGGGATTTAATTGGCACCGCATTCTGTTTAGTCTGCCATCAAACACTCGTTTGATTCTTCTCCGTTTCAAATGTACTTATCTATGAGTTAGCCCTACTTCCCAGCTGAACCTCCCCATTTGCAGCAGATGTGTTGTAACAATGCAGGACCAGCAGGTGTTTCTGTTCTACCCAGTCAAGTCCCCAGCATGGGCCAAGAGTACGTTCTCTCAGACTCTGCATGATACAACGTTTATCAACCGAGTAATCTTTCCAGCGGTGATCAATGCCAAGTCGAAGTACCAAGAAATGTAGTACATGGGAGTGCCTTGGACACGATGACTCCTGCCCAGGCGTACGCGTACGCCGTGAAAACAGGACAAGACTATAATCGCACGCTGCACTATACTATCGAACGTAAACAGCCCTTGAGGAGCGTACAAGATCAGCCACCACCTTTACCACTAAGCAGCATTAATGCTGGTACCGAGCGCGGAGGGTTATATGCTCAGCGTTTGTACGCAAGCGCGACGAGCAACAAGTCCTCGTCAAGTTTGCCTGGCAGCAGCAGCAGCCCGAGCAGACCTACCCAGCCGATTGACAAGCCTCTTCCCGTTGCACCACCCGGCCCAGACAGTAGCAGGCCTCTAAGCCGTTCACAGCACCATCGCAGTTCATCGCTTTCGCCATCAAGTCTTGATACCAGGGTGCCAAATACTGTGACTCAGAGATTCAACGTTGCGGACCTTTACCATAGCAGTTTGCCTCGAGGGGATTTTCGATCATTAAGGACTTTATTGTCTGGCCCCGGGGCGCACACTACTGCCGGGGGGAGGACTGAACCCGCTCCTCTCTCCGCACCTCCGTTGCACTCGCCGACACCGCTCGTTGGTTACCCTCGCCTCCAGACTTCCGTTTCGCAGACACAGCTACCACGACGTAGTGGTGACCTGTCAAGCCCACCGCTTTCTCCGGAGAGTTTCCGGTCTAGCCGCGCAAGATGCGACCTGTCAGCTTATGACGTTCAGCTTAACAGTAACCTCGATCGACCATTGTTGCGCGAAACGCCAGGTTTGCGGGTTTCATCGTCCGTTTCCGTACCCACGGTTTATATAATGACACCTCCGTCTTCTACATCACCTCTATCTACATTTAGGACTGATAGGCCCGTTGGTAGGGGCGAGGACGCGTCCCCGTCCTTCTCACGATCTTTTCAGAGAAGAGTGCTTCAGGAGACTTCGTCAACATTCGAGGAAAACCATCTATCCATGGATGACTTATCCACCGCCACCGCCTTTTGAATGTGGGTGATAAGGTTTCGTTCAACCATCTCCTTTTGATTGATTGATTGTGAAACACCAGCTGCCATATCATCTGGATCAGCAGTCGGTTCCTGTGCTTAGAACAACATCTTCTGCGATGTCTCCTTCGCCATTGATATCCGAACGACCATCTAGTATATCACCCGATTTGCAAGGTGATCTGCCGTGTTATACAGCTCCAGACCCTGCTATTTCATCCCTTCTACCACCCTTTGGCGATGAGAAGTCGGCACCATCGAAGTTGCCATGCCGATCTACTTCCCCTTCACCTGCGAGGTCGTTTACAGATCGCCGTATACTACCTACCGTTCCACCACCTTCCCAATCTCCTCGTATGACTACTCCGATTATATCGGCTACACCTCCACCTACCGTTCGGTCCCCACCGCCACCGTCGAGGAGCCCCCTTCGCTCAATAGAGAATTCATCGGTTACTGGGAAGTCGCCTCCCTCGCACAGTGAGACAAGTGTCCTTACCTCTTGCCTTGCATACCCCAGAGCCTATGGGGCGTCCCGCTGAACAACTCTCTGTTGAAAGGTAACTCGTCCTCGAGCCTCCTTTTGCCACTTGTATCGTTCCACTGATGCTTATGCGTTGTACAAAGCCCGTCAAGCGTCGTTGATCTTCCGAATCCCTATGACCAAGAAGGGGATGATGATTCTCACACGGGCCCGTTGATACGCCTCAGAACATTATCTCTGCCCTCTCCACAGCCTAGCCCAAATACGGACGATCTCACGGATGCTATTGAGAATCTTGCGGGGACAAGTTCTTTACAAAGCTCTGGAGATGGAACCGTCTGAGATGGATTCTTTCAGCGTTCGAATGTCGGTTACTGATGGACGTTATTATGGCCTACCTCTGTTCATGTAAACAATATCCACTCACCTATGTATATTTCCAGACGTCGCGTTCCTGAGTGCTCTCAATATTGAGATTACTACACACTATTGCTGAGAGGTATGAATTCTTGGGTACTTTGCTTTCCACAGCGCTTGGACTTGTATACAGATTAGGCCTTGTGGAGTCTGCTACTAGCATCTTCGGTTGCTGCCTCACTCGCTAGGCCTTGGTAGAATCAGGAATTCACAATGTATTCGTGCATAGAACAATGTCTTGCATCACAAAAAAAGGAAGCAATATCATCAAGAAAACAACAACACATTGTGTACCAAAGGGAGAGAAAGCATAGACAATAGGAATCAGATATGACCAATGGAAAAACAAATGATTAGAAGTCATTTGGCATTTGGGCCAGCATTGACACCTCAGGCCTCATCGACACAGAGGATTGCTAGAGTGATCAGAGCAACTCAGGACAAGTCAAAAAATGGTTTCAGTATGTCAGAGAAACAAGGCTCAATACAGGTTGATAGGCCATCGGAAAGGCCCTAGGCCTCTCAGAGGGTGGTCAAAGAGGCTGTAGGACTGTCTTAGGGGGGATTACAGAGGTGGCTTGGTGTTGTGAATATGACAGTGATGCACAACAGGAGAAAATCACCACACCTGTATGCCCTTCAGTGATATACTTACTCTTAAACAAGGGTCATTTAACCACTGTTCTGGTGTTATTTTGAGGACAAATGGTGGCTTTCAATCAGCAAAACAGTTTCCACAGTGACATACAGTAGCTCTTGTTGCACTAAAAAAAGTGTTTTGCTGATGGGTCATTGTGGAAGGGGTGAATTTTGACTGGGAACAGAACAGTTATGATGCCCTGTGTCTACCTTCCCAGGAAGCTAAATCTGCTGGAACTTTGTCAATGGCCTGCATAGTTCATGAGTTATGTTGGTTCTGAGCTAGCTGCTAGGTGACTAGGTGGTGGCAGCAATTTTGAAGATTTTCTGTCACAGCAAATCTTTCTTGCAAACCACTGTAAATGCAGGGAAGTCTATCTAATGGATTACATCTTTCTTAGAATCCATGTCCCCCACTCCCTTCCATGAACCCAAGAGGACAGCAATGCAAACTTTGAAGACACTAACATCAATTGATGGGAGCACTGCCACCACCACCCTAATATGTTACTCTTTACCATAGATAGTATAATTTGTCACTCATTTGTCATGGCTATTTTTTTTTAGCACACATGAATTTGACACTGAGCAGGACACTGAATACTGCAGTAGTAGTACAGGGGACTATTTGAACACATGAAAAACATCAACAGTGTGTGAAATGGACAAAGAATGTAGCAGTCATTGACATCAGTGAGTGAATGAAGACATAAATGAGAACTCTGCTGCAAGAATAAAAGGAATTTTCAGCATGTAGAGCAAAGGAAAGCAAGCAAAAAGTGACAATGGTAACTCTACTTCAAGTGATGAGCATGTTTACCTCCTGCAGCACTGGCAGCAAAAGTGTTTGCATTGGTGGACCTGCACTTCTCACTGGCAGACATGTCTTCTGTATCCTTCTCAGTGATGTTGGTAAATGCAGGGTGCTGAGGGACACCAATCTTCTCCTCATGGGGATCCAGAAGGGTGGCAGTGGCAACCTTGCATGGCAGAGGAAGGCCAGAAACCTTGCCAGGGTGTGTGTATTCCAAGTGGTAGAAGTTCAGGTGCTGCTCTGTATTGTACCTCCAAATTCCATCTCACCAATCAGTCTGTTGTGCATGTGGAGGGAGTGGGCATGATGGACAGACCTCAGGTACATTGTGACATGGACACCTCTTCAAGCCTTTCTCTGCATATGCAAACTTGATCTGGACCTGGTGAGGACAGTGCATGTCTACCTTGACTCCATAAGCTGTGATTTTTACCTTGATCACACAATCTGGATGCTGGAGCTGAGAATGACCACAAAAGCTGCAAGGGAAGAGGTGATCGATGGGAGAGACAATGACTTCTTCAACACTGTGAATGGACTGGAGGATATGCCCACCCATCAGACCCTTCAGTCACCTGTAGGCCTGAAAGTGGGTCATCTGACATGTACATTTTGTCCTAAAAGTGGGACTAACCAATGTCAGCCAATGGTACCCAAAGGTGGGTAGGCCAGTGTGTGGAGGTGGGATTGGCCAACCTCATGGGGAGATGGATGTACCCCATGGGAGTGGGGTTGGCTGACCTGTTTGGAGGGTGGACCCACTGCCTGGAAGTGGGGTTGGCTGACCTGTTTGGAGGGTGGACCCACTGCCTGGAAGTGGGGTAGGCTGACCTGTTTGGAGGGTAGACCCACTGCCTGGAAGTGGGGTCAGCCAACCTGTTTGGAGGATGCACCCACCTCCTGCAAGTGGAGTTGGCTGACCTCACTGGGAGATGCACATACCCACACCAATAAGAGGTTCAATTTTGGTACCTTCAGCTTTCTGTCAAAACTTGTATGAGGGCATTGCAAGATAGCATGGCAAAGTACAGAGTAAGCCCCCTCCACATTACTTGCTTTTTGGCCTTTCAGCAGGTCTCCCTTCATCACTAGGCACCTTTTGGTTGTGACCCCAGTAGCCAGTACCACATCAGCATTCATCACTAAGTGTTATGGAACCCCCCCCTTTGTCCCTAGGAGCAACCAATCTTGACAGTCTCTTTCCATGTCTCCATTCTTCATGTTTGATCCTAATCTAACATTCTGCACTTAGTTGTCTATCTGCTTGTTTTCTTTTAAAGTCTCTTATCAGGTTAGAACTGATCCTCTCACCCAAGGGGGGTATAACACTCTAGGGATCTGCTGATGCTCACTGACAAGTACCAATGCAGTACCAAGGGTGGGACATTACAGCTGAGATGTTATGAAGTTGATCAAATGATACTGAACACAAAGTGGACCTGCTCTGTAGTTGACACGTTATGTAGCAGTGTCCTTGTACAAGTCCTGACAGAAGGCTGATAAAGAAGACCTAGTAGAGGTATTACAGTTGATATTCAAACTGAGGTATCTTCCACATGAGTTACCAACATATGTATGTACTACCAACTAGCAATGTAGGCTACAATGTGTTGGAGATATATTCTCCCCTGTGTTCTGCTCACTTTGGTGCGATGTTTGGGTGCTTACATAATCACCTTAGAGCGCACATTTTACAGTAGTTTATTCACTGTTCCCTCAGTAGCTTGTTGCACTACTGAGGGTAAGCTCACTTTCACTACCAGTATTATACTTACTGATGTCCTGTAGATACCTACAGGTTGGTCTAATACATCAGTAGCTTGTTGCACTACTGAGGATACCTACAGCATCCTTCAGAACAATGTAGGTATGCACAGCCAACACAAAGATCCCAAGTGCCAGTAATCCAAAGACTGACAGGTATGGTCCAGTATGGTAAAGGTTAGACCCAATGGATTGGACATGAGCTTAGACCAATGGATTGATTACCTTGGTCTTGGGTCCCAAATCTTTGGCCTATGCCATACCCATTTGCCTACTACTTACACACAACCTCACACCCACCCCATGTGGTATGGATCCCTTAGATTTCACACTTATCTGACCCTCAGGTATACCCTTTGACTCAATCACCAGGGTGGTGGGGTTTCTACTTTGCCTAGTGCATGTCCTTTGCTAGGGTTACACAACTTCAAAAAATCAAGCAGCATGGGGGCAATTCATGTTATGCAGCCTAGCAACTACAAGGATTGAGCAAATACACAGCCAAGAAAATACAGGATTGACCAAATACACAGCCAAGAAAAATACAGGACTAAGTTACAGAGCAAATGTTCCAAGTGGAACTGAGACCTCAGGCATCCTGGAGGGGCCCCTCCCCAGAAAGACACTGAGATCTCTAGAGAAAATAAGGTATCTAAAAGACTAGTACAAAGATAATACAGATGTCAGTCAGAAGCTGGCCTGCACTGGCAGGCACAGACAATAAATCCCCCAGAACCCACAAGGCTGGCCTGCATTCACAGGCACAGACTAAGCCCCCAGGTCCCACAATGAAAAAGTCCTAAGCTGGCCTGCACTAGCAGGCACAGACTATGTAACCCCCTGAACCCCAGCTGGCCTGCAAAAGCAGGCACAGACTAAACCCCCAGAACCCACAGGAAGATAGTATCAGCAACCTACACACTGTTACACTTCCATCAGGGGTCTTTCCTTTCTTGACTCCTTGTGGTCACATGTGTCACATGCCTTGTCACATTGCTGGTAGTCGTTGCTGTCCTAGGGGCTCAAATGCTCCAGGGCATGCTCGGATCTCCCACTGTCAGGGTATTTCCAATACCTGTCAAGACCATGTTGCCACTGTGATCTGGTGTTCCACTGCCCTCTCTGATGGATGACTTGTTTACTTCTTGTTCTGCTGACTTGTTTATATTGCTCAAATGTTGTACTATAGTTCCAGTGTCAGGCTCCTCACTGCGCATTGATTGTGCCAGCCAGTATAGCCTTCGTCGCCTCCCTACCCCCATCAAGTGACACCATATGACTCTTATTTATTTCACTGGTTGTTTTGTTGATTACTGCGGATATGCGTCGCAACTGGTGTGGTACTCGTACTTAGGGGTATAAGTACCTACGTACTTTGTCCTGTATCTGCAGTTTTTTGATAGCTTGCAACTCAGCTAACTTCCTTCTCATTCATCCTTGTTCTCTCTCTGTGTGAACAACCTTAGGGACTTGCCAGCAGACAGAACCCTTGTTGGATCTCTGAGATAACTGAGCCATAGGGGTTATGACAAGTTTGGCCCATAGACTCCCCCTCGTGTGCTTGGTGCCTATTCCATTTGAAGA